TATTTTTTTTTTTTTTTTTTTTTGTGTTAAGGTTTTATCACATTTTTTATTTTTATAATAATTGCAATATATAATTTTAAAAAACGTGTAAATAACAAACATAAAAAAAAAAGAGATGCCGTCCTTTCAGAAAAGGTTTATAGAAAAGACAAATAGGAAAGAGATTATCGAAACTTTTTAACACATCTAATAATACTAAATTGTGATGGATTAGCGTGAATTATGGTTTAATATATTGATTATTTCAATATAATTATATTTGACCATTACATTATCTTTAAAAAAAACCTCAAACATGTGGATTTGTATATCAAAACAAACTCTCTACATTAAAATGCGACATTAATGTAATTTGTTGTTAACAATAAAGCATCATTTAAAAATGACACGAGAATAAATATAAAAAAAAAACTTATGTATTTTAAGAGACTTTTATATATTTTATTCAATATCTACTCATTTTATTTATTATTTGTCACATAAACTTTATTTTAAAGAAAATTAGAATACTCCCATAAAATTTTGAAATCAATTTAATTGGTTTTGTTTGTATTGTTAATATATATTTGTATATATTGATTTGTTTTTGGGAAAGGGTAATGGACACCAACTTCTAAGTTAGATTTGACTTTCCAAATCTTAAATTTATTTGATTAAATCAAGCTTAAAAATTTGTAGATTGTAAGATATTTAAATGATTTTTAATATTAATACAAGTTAATTTTTTATTTTAAAATATAATATATAAATACCTTTTTCAAAATATAAAGAGGAATGATTAAATGTGATTTATATATATATATATATATATATATATATATGTAGTGATGATGGAAGTGATTAAAGTAACACGTGGACGGCGGGGATATGCCGAAAATGGCTGCAATGTCGTTGGTTACCGGCTCCGCCGGGGACGGCGTTGGAGTTTTGGTTTGGTATGGCCGGCGTCGAATTTGCATCTCTAAGAAATCACTTTTAAAATAATATTATTAAAAATAAATTAATTAATTATATTTAAGAAACTACTTGAGACTCTCAGATCCCAACAGAAAAAAAATATAAAAATGCATTTAATAACAAATTTATTTATTTGATTCATTAATTTAATTGGCTTCGACAGGACACAGACGTAATGTGGCTTCGAAACCCATTTACAAAGCTAAGCTCCAACAAAACAGAGGACCTCCAAATCAGCACCGACGGCTTCTCCGGCAACCCATGGAGTGAAGAAAACAACTTCGTAAACACCGGATTCTACTTCGTCCGATCAAACAACAAAACCATTTCCCTCTTCCGGAACTGGTACAATCTGAAGGACAATTCCACAGGGAAGAAAGAGCAGGACGTTCTTTTAGAGCTCATCCATGGCGGAATCATCGCTAAACTTGGCCTTAAAGTCCGATTCCTTGACACCCTGTTCTTCAGCGGCTTCTGCCAAGACAGTCGGGACCCAAGGGAGGTAACGACGGTTCACGCCAACTGCTGTCGGAGCATCGCCGCCAAAGTGGGCGATCTCCGGACAGTGCTTTATGATTGGAAGAAGTTTCGGAAGACGAATTCTTATAATGCGACGGCGGGGTTTAAGTGGTCGCCGCATTTGGGGTGTGCGAAATCGTGGAAAAGGTAGAAGCGGAGTTATATTTCGACCATTAAAGTATTATTAGTATAGTTTCAAAGGTCAAGATATCTATCTTTATATTTATTGTATTATTTAATTTTAATAAAATCTAGTTTCAATTAATATATTTTATTTAATTATAAATGGAGTGGAGCATGGAATAGCCCGTTCTTGATTGCACCCACTCTAATACCTACATCACGAGAACTGAGTATGATTTATATTTTTTTTAGAATACATCTCCTTTGAGAATTATAGATTTTAAGAATCATATTTTTTGAGATAGAACGGATCTAAATTAGTTATTCTCAACTCAAACTAATTCAGTTCGAGTGAGATGAGGTGTATTAGTCTTGGACTAGGCTTTGCTCTACATTAACCCATTTCATACCGGACCTTGTGTTTCACAGTATCCAATTTTCTCATAACACAACTCTACGATGTTATGATATGATACTCTTATGGATATAATAATTTTAATATTTTAATGAATTTTTATTCGAATGGTAATATTATAAAATAAAATATAAAGGGTATATATATATTTTTTAATGTTTGAAAAAAAAAAAAAAGAGAGGCTACTTTCGTAATTTTGCTTAAATGATCCATTTTAAGGCCCCGCGAACTCCCTCATCTCAGTGATTGCCTTCCCCATTTTCAGCTTCTTCTTCAAATTCTCTGTAATTTTTCTCTCTCGTTCGCCATGGATCCCGTCAATGCTTGGGGCAACACTCCTCTTGAAGCTGTCGACCCTGAGATCTTCGATCTAATCGAGAAGGAGAAGCGTCGACAATGCCGTGGAATCGAGCTTATTGCCTCTGAGAATTTCACTTCCTTCGCTGTCATCGAGGCCCTCGGTAGCGCCTTGACCAACAAATACTCCGAGGGCATGCCGGGTAACCGATACTACGGTGGCAACGAGTTCATCGACGAGATCGAGAATCTCTGCCGTTCTCGAGCCCTCCAGGCCTTCCATGTCGATCCTGCCAAATGGGGCGTAAATGTCCAGCCCTACTCTGGTTCTCCGGCGAATTTCGCTGCCTACACGGCGTTGCTTCAGCCGCATGACCGTATTATGGGGCTGGATCTTCCTTCTGGTGGCCATTTGACGCATGGTTACTACACTTCCGGTGGGAAGAAGATCTCTGCTACCTCGATTTACTTCGAGAGTTTGCCTTACAAGGTTAATTCCTCCACTGGCTATATTGATTACGAGAAGTTGGAGGAGAAGGCTTTGGATTTCAGGCCGAAGCTGATTATCTGTGGTGGCAGTGCATACCCTAGGGACTGGGATTACGCCAAATTCAGAGCAATTGCCGACAAATGTGGTGCCCTTCTGCTTTGTGATATGGCTCACATTAGTGGTCTCGTTGCTGCTCAGGTATATGAATCGTGTTCAGATCTTTTGTCAGTTTGTCTTGTGAATGTTGGTAACCGGATGTTGTTTGCTTTTCCATTTCTGGATTTGGGATCTGTGGATTTCTGTTGAACTTGCTTTTCTCTTTGATCTCTGCAGATGATAAGCTCAATTCGTTCATACTTGTCTTTCGTCTTTGTGTTCAGATTAGTAATGGTTAGAAATGGCACAGGTTGTTAGATCCATAATTGTTTGAGCATCTTCGTAACAGGATCTGGCTTTTTGAAAACTTATTTAATAATAAGTATTGATGCTGCATTGATTCTTTGTAACGGAAGCTAACTTGTGTTCTTTGTATTCGTTGAACTATGAAGTTTTTCATTGTTTTTGTCAAATATTTTTTGTATTCCTTGTTTGTACCATAAGATTCAGTTTTAAATGCTTAGTTGAAAATTGAAATGAAGCTCTGCTTCGAGGAAAGGGATACATTTCTGCTTCTGGTTGAATTCAGTTTTAATGTAAAACAAATCCTGTGATATCATCTTTTTTGCTTTGAATTTAGATTACGTTTTCTTTTTGAAAAATTATTCGAAGGCATATTTCTTCTAACACATTTCTTATGATTGTTTATGATCTCTGTTTCCTTTCTTGCAACTTAAGCTACCTGGGTCTTGCTAGTATTGTAAAATAATAGTGTACAATGACTGTTTGTAGGAAGCTGCAAACCCGTTCGAGTATTGTGACGTTGTCACGACCACAACTCACAAGAGTTTGAGGGGTCCGAGGGCCGGTATGATCTTCTATAGGAAGGGTCCAAAGCCACCAAAGAAGGGTCAGCCTGAGGATGCTGTTTATGATTTCGAAGACAAGATCAACTTCTCTGTCTTCCCTGCCCTTCAAGGTGGCCCTCACAATCACCAAATTGGTGCTTTAGCTGTTGCCTTGAAGCAGGCTATGGCCCCCGGGTTCAAGGTCTATGCAAAACAAGTTAAGGCCAATGCTGTAGCCCTTGGAAATTACCTGATGAGCAAGGGCTACAAGCTTGTCACTGGCGGAACCGAGAACCACCTCGTTCTCTGGGATCTTCGTCCTCTGGGATTGACTGGTAATTCCGTGCAAACGAACCAAAGAAAACTAACAGAAAGAACATGTTCTGTTCTGTTCGTGTGACTTTTTTTGTGGTAATTCCTTTTGCAGGCAACAAGGTTGAAAAGCTTTGCGACCTGTGCAACATTACTGTAAACAAGAATGCCGTGTTCGGCGACAGCAGTGCATTGGCTCCCGGAGGTGTTCGAATCGGTAAGTTCCAATATCGTTGAAAGATGAGTTCATCATCCACAGTCCTCTTAAGAACTTGTTTTCCTTGCAATCAATCGATGACTTTTTATCTATATTTAAGTGTGTGATTAACAAGACATCATATTGCGATGTGTTAGGTGCACCTGCCATGACATCGAGAGGTTTGGTCGAGAAAGACTTCGAACAGATCGCAGAGTTCCTTCACCGTGCTATAACCATCACCTTGAACATCCAGAAGGAATATGGAAAGCTGTTGAAGGACTTCAACAAGGGTCTGGTAAACAACAAGGAAATCGAAGAGCTCAAGGCCGACGTCGAGAAATTCTCTGCCTCATTCGACATGCCCGGTTTCCTCATGTCCGAGATGAAGTACAAGGACTAGAAAGCAAACATCAACAACAAGAAGATCTAAAGTTTTGGGTGTTTGTTGAATCTTTAAAATCTTTCACTTCTAAAGTTGAAAAGGTAAAAAAGAAAGATTGCTTTTAGTTTATTATCTTTTATTTTTCCAGTATGATGGAGACTAGATTTTCCATCGCAAATGTTTATTCGCAAGTTTAATGCTAAGAAAAGAAGTTTTGGGCTAGATAGAGAAGCCCAATTTCAAATCTGTAAGCTTTAAAGCCCATATCAGAAGCAAGACTTTGGGCCACCATGGCCCATATTTTTGCAATGGGCTCCTCTATCCTTCATTTATTTTGGGCTTTTAGAGGATTATTGGGCCTATCATTACTCTTTTAGTTGACAGGAAGCTACACAGCTTTTACCCTAAATTAATAATAATAGTATGCATCAAAATTTTATATTTTAATCAATTTAATTTTTTTAAAAAATAATTTGTAAACTTCCCATTTATTTTATTTTTATTTAAATAATAATTTATTTTTATTTAAATGTCTCTAACTAACTACTTTTTTTAATGAACTTTTATTTTACGTAATTATTTTTCAAGAAAGTCATAAAAGAGAAAACCACCTCACCCTTGTACATCGTGTCATTATTTATTCATTCAAGGCCAATATTTATTTTTCATTTTTTATTTTTTCTATAAAAAAAAAATATAAACAGACTTTGCTTTTAAAATTTTAAATAATATTCTTAAATTAAAAAGAAAATCTAAAAAGTATTGATTAAATATTTTGTTTCAAACCTATCCTTTTACCTTTTTAAAATATTTCAAAAAATAACCTTAAACTTTCCGATAAGTTTTCTTTAAAACCTTCAAAAACAATTTTAATTTTTTAAAAAAATTAAAAAAAATAGCATTACAAAACTTAGAGATAAGGTATGAAGTGTAGATATACCAAGTTAAAAAAAAAACTTTTTTGAATTTTTTAATAAAGATAAAATATATTAATACTATATTAAAAAAATTTATTAGCAATTTTAAAATATTACTAAAAGTAAAAATATTTTTTAAAAATATAGTTCTAACTTTTAAAAAGTTAATATTAATGAAGTTTTTTTAATATGTTTTTAAAATACTATTAAAAGTTCCACGGGAGAACTAAAACATTAAATTAAAGATGTAGCATTCTTTTTTTAATTTAATAGTTATTATTCAAATTTTTAAAGTTTAAAATTATTTTTGAGACAAAATATAAAATTTGGTAGTTACTTGAAATTTTCGAAAATAACCAAAATTTCATTAAACCCTTTGAATTTTTTTTAATGATTTAACCAACAAATTAATGTTAATAATATTAATTTGATTAAATACTAATTACAAAATGACTTTAATTCCAATTAATTTGGACTTTCATATCGTATTGTCATATTTAATTCCAAACTATAAAGTAAGGCTATTTTACCAACCATTAATTATTTACAATAAATTAAATTTAAAATACTATTATTTTCAAAATTATAAAATTGTACGGAGGAAAATTTCAAATCCAATAAATATAGATTTAAATAAGAATAAATTAGGTGATCAATACATCATCTTTACCGTACATTTATTTATTCATAAAAAAAACGTACATTTCAATCATTTGATCAAAAGAATATCATATCGATAGTCTACCCGACACAAAAAATTACCAGACCTACCAATAGATCAATCACTTGGGATGAGAATGGAAAAGAGACGATGTGTAGTAGGAGAGAAGCGTCGGTAGCAAAATTTTCAGAAGAATTTCAACAAAATACCTTGTGTTTCGGCCTTCCTGGAAGGGAGGTATTTGGGTCCAACATATGAGATGAAGGAACTCAAATCTTCGACCTATTGCTCGAGAATGTATGTCCATGTCTAGGTCGATTAAACTTTGCGTAGGTCGTTAAGAGAGATGGCGTAATAGTCGAAGCCTTACGTTATTAGATATTATCATCTGTGAACTTTTCTGTACGAGATATTTTTATTT